TCATAACACAATATTTCCAAAAGCCAACCACAGTCTCTGTGATGTGGAAACATAATAAAATGTAACTTTCTTTCCATTTGTAGAAAAACACTTTTCAAACATGAATTCACTTATCTTGACTTCTCTGAATGAGGGGTCCCAACACAGTAAGAAGAGGGGAACCTTTTTAATTTTTTTTGTGAGGTAAGGAGTTTAGCATAATTTAAATTCTTCATTAGTCAAGTTAAAAACAAAATGTGATATTATATGTGAGGATGGCAAATAATACAAGTACAATTAAGCTTTACTTCAAATGTTTTGTTTGCATTGTTTTTACCAGGTACAATTAGACAGCTTAATTTAAAATTATATGCAGAGCAATTGCTCTATAAACATTAGTACATGCAAGAAAACTTTGTAAATTTAGGAGTTATTTTCTTTCTATTTGAATTACATTTTGATTTTAAAATTACTATGTCTAACCTTAAGAAACAAAGTTACATATTTGAAATTCACTTATACTGAGCATGGGTAAGCTACTTCAATTAGAAATTATGCATTTATAATACTATCTGTGTCCCAAACACAAGAGAGTATAAGCATCCCTGATTCTTTCTAGGATATGCCCATCTAAAATAGGTAATAGTCTTTTTCGTGCAGTGGGAGATTCACTGAATTTAATTAATTAGCTATGCTTTTTACGGCATAGCCCACATTTGTGCAAGTAGTTCTTTAATTAAACAAGAAAAGCATAGCATCTTCTGGAGGCAGGTGAAGGCTGCAATTCTCTAAAAAGTGCTGTCGGCTGATTACATTATCAAAAAACTAACTTTCCCTAGATGGGAACAATTGATCTCCTTAAAAGAGAAAATATTTTATTTTCTGAAATTGGTAACTGTTATTAGTGGCCTGGCAACTAATTTTTACAATGTACTAAAACAGCTACACATATCCATGAATGTTTGTTTTCTGGGGACTTGTATGAAAATGAAAATATCCATAATGTACTTCTACGGACAAACCTCCCTCCTGCACGTCACTTCATTTGAAATCAATAAATATCAGAGTAGATAAAAGCTGCTACACACATTTGGTCAAGCCAAACTTAAGGACAACAAAAGAGACTTAGAATACATATCCTAAATTCTTCCAATAAAATTTCCTTTTCTGTCTTGAAATCTAGTCATAAAGATAAACAGAAAAAGTATACCAAAGGCTATAAGCAGTCAGTATTGAGCTCACGGAGTTTCAAATACAAATTGATGCCAAGACCAGGTAGCATAGGCAGTGTGTACACATGTTTATTACCTATTTATATATGTTTATCTGTGTGTGTATGTGTATATATATATATATTCATTTCATTTTCATTTATATGTGTGTGTATATGTGTATACACACATATAAATGAATATGCCACCCACTTATGTTGTCCTTTCCCCCATAAATACGGGTACACAGAGTCTATAGTCATTAATTAGCTCCATTCTAAGGTCTCCTCTCCCACGGCATGGCTTCTGCACAGGTACCTCTGTGTGACTCAGGGTTTATGAAAGTTAGATGGTAGGCCAGGCACCCATCCTCCTGGAACACTTTGCTTGAATTTTCTTGATATATAATTCATGTAAAATTCATAAAAAATGATATCATTCACCTTTTAAAATACACTCTTGAGTGGTTTCAGTGTATTCACAAAGTCGTGCCACCATTACCACTAATTCCAAACCATTTTCATTGTGCGTAGGGTTCTACAATTCAAATTTATACCAACACTGTTTTGTCTCTTTGTTGTGGTTGAGATTTCAGTGTTAGATATTAGATACCGGTGAGTATAGTGACATAACCTGAGAGTGCAGATATTTGTGTATAAAAATAAACCCCAACAGCCCAGCCGGCATGGCTCAGTTGGTTGTGTTGACCTATGAACCAGGAGGTCACGGTTCGATTCCCAGTCAGAGCACATGCCGGGTTCGTGAGCTTGATCCCCAGTAGGGGGCGTGCAGGAGGCAGCCAATCAGTATTTTCTCTCATCATTGATGTTTCTATCTCTCTCCCTTCCTCTCTGAAATCAATACAAAATATATATATAAAAAATAATAAAAAAATAAACCCAAACACATGTTTAGACTGATAGAGCAAGAACAGGACTGCTGATAGCTATGTCTGCTTTGTTGAGTCTCTGATCCCACCTCTGGCTTACCTGCGATAGTTCTGTCTACCACCATGCTCAAGAGAAATAGCTTCAAACTGAAACAACTCTTAGAATATCTTACTGCGTGACATTTTTTTTAAAATTGACACAACCTTCCTAACTCTCTTGCCATGTGGCAAGCTAGAGGTAAATACAACATTGTAAGCAGTATGGATCCTAATGGTGGAGAAGGGGTTGTTAGGTCACTGGTAAAAGTTTTGACTCAAAGCCTCAAAGATCGTCCCAAGTTATTCTTAAGAATTTATATAACTAGGTTCCCAGTCCAAGATCTATGACTATATATAAAGTTTCCAGGACCTAGATCTTATTCTTGACAAAATTAAATTTAGAAGATGATAAAAGGTATTTTCTAAGACTATCCTAGTATAATTAATTATAATTAGATTCTTAAACTAGAAATTGAGTATGTGAGACAACAAATCTGTTGATTGAAAACTATGTTGTCAATTGTCATCTCAAAAGTATAATGTAATTTGAGGACTATCATTTTACCAAGTATATCTATTGCCAATACAAAGGTCTAGACCAGTGATGGTGAACCTTTTGAGCTCGGCGTGTCAGCATTTTGAAAAACCCTAACTTAACTCTGGTGCCGTGTCACATATAGAAATTTTTTGATATTTGCAACCATAGTAAAACAAAGACTTGTATTTTTGATATTTATTTTATATATTTAAATGCCATTTAACAAAGAAAAATCAACCAAAAAAATGAGTTCGCGTGTCACCTCTGACACATGTGTCATAGGTTCACCATCACTGGTCTAGACATTGGTAAAGGGTTGAGCTATTTGTTAGGTGATGTATTGACCAGCTATTCCAATGATACAAAACAAACGGTTCTAGAAGGGGCCTGATGTGCACACAGGAGGCCAAAGCACTCAAGCAAAAGAATAATATCTGTTTTCAAAACAAAAACAAAAGGTTTAGCTCTACTTTGACCCGACAATAAAAATTATACACACTGATAGTGCTGTGTGGTAAACATTTTTAAAATAATATTATGCATTGCACTATTTATTTACATGTATCTGCTTGGACACAAAAAGACTTTAAGAAACAATAACAAATTCAGTCCCAGGCAGATTTTAAATATACAATTTTAGTCTTTCATTTCCCTACCTTCTATTTTAAAGCACTCTTCCCAGATTTTATTTATAACGATGGCAGCAATAAGAAAACTAGATTGACGCAAGCAGTAGGAGGGCTTCAGGTTGGATCCTCAGAAATGTTTCCTAATTACTACTTCAAGTCTTTCTAAAGCAGCGTGCTACATGAGCTAATTATTGAGGGCTGGTGGCTAGCTTCGCACCTTACTCCAGGAGCACCTTGTGTTACAGTTCTCTATCAGAGCAGTATGTGGGACTCCACTATCAGTTCTGCAGCCAGTTCTATGAACAAGAAGGAAAACATGCTCATATTCGATTATTGGCTAGCAATGCCCGGAAGAAATATGAGGAAGATCTGCAAGAGACTGATGCATAAAAGGTGGTGCTATTCTAGTAATACTTGGGTAAGTAGAAGCAATAGGCCTAATAAGGCTAAAACGACCATTTCCTGCACACCAACCATGTGCCGGGTGCTTAAAATATGCCATCCCCCATCTTCACAACAGTCCTTCCAGGCAATGTCTACACTACATGTTTTGCAGACGAGGAAGAGGCTTAATAGTTAGTCCAACACAATGAACAACGGTGTAAGGATTAAAAACTCCCAATTTGCATTCCACATCCTGGCCCTTTGATTTTGGAAAGCCGGGATTCGAACTCAGGTCTGACTACAAAATCTATATACTCCTTCCACCGTGGCCCCTTCCAGAACCCCGCATGCTATTCAATTTAGCAACAGAGGCAAGATGTACTATGTAACTGTAGCTGCCTGTGCCCAGATCTCTGACTACATAAAAGCAACCTTAGTTCCAAAAGTGGAAGCCATGCCACCCTGGGTGATTTAATTCATAATGCCACCCAGTGCTTTTTTTTTTGGCAGGATATTGTAACATTCCTCACTGTACAAATACAATATTCTCTTACCCTGATGTGCTGATGTGGAGAGAAAGGGAACAACGCATCTGTAATATTATTTCAGTTGGAAAAATAAGTTCGAAATCAGTCATTGCATCATGGGAACAGTGTTGCTAATTACCAATGAAGAAATCTATTTTTGTGAATAGCCTGATTTAAAAAAAATACTATCACTTATTTAACTAAGATGTTCAGATGAGATCATTTTGATTCTGAAACTGAATACTGTAGTGAAATGTTACTGTGACTCATAAATTTATTTGTGGAAATAAATGTTGCAACAAACACCATGACTGTGCTCAATACAACCTTTGTGGTTTTTATTTGTCCTTCCAAATGAGCTTGTACTTTTCACATTTGCTACAGACACAGGTGAGTCTGAAGCATTCTCTTGCCAGTCTTGGGACAGATCACCTTCTAAAAGTCTTTGTGGATGTGACCGTGCTCAGCTAATACAGTACTTTGCCATTTTCCTTTTTCTCTCATTTTTGAAAGTAGTCGAGAGCCACTTTCTCTCTTTCCTTTTCCCTCTCTTTCTCTCAGCTTCTTAGGCAGATTCCCAGTATAAATGCAACAGGTGGCGTTACCTAAAAATATATAAACTGAAAGAAAAGAAATATTACGGTGGGCTACTCAGGAAGTGTGCTGAAATGAAAACAGCCCTGGACATTTAGCATGGCCAGAGTGTCTAAATCAAGCAGGAAGGAGCAGAGGGACTTGAATTCGCCACAACTGCTGCTAAGGGTCACTGAGGCCCTGCTCTGGCAGGTGCCGCATCTCCCATACCTTGTATCTGTCCATGGGGTCCTCCTGCTGCAGCTGACTCTCACGCATTGTCTGATATTCCTTCTCATATTTCTTCAGCTTCTTGGTCGGTACCTGCAGGGGGGGAGAGGGGGTCAGAGGAACAGCATGTGAGACGAGGAGATGATTTAGGGAAGCATTCTCTGAGGTGTTCCAATCAAGTCTCTGGCATTCTGATGGTGCTCACCCAACTCAAAGTTAGGGGGAAGCAATCTAGATTTGCACTCTCTCTCTGAAAGTCCACTGGTGGGTGTTGTAGGCTTTGTGGGTCCTGCAGTCTAGGTTACACCTACTCCACGTTGCTGTTACCGCACAAAAGCTGCCATAGGTGATGCATAAACAAATGAGTTTGGCCCTGTTTTAACAAACTTCTTTTTACAAAACGGGCTGTAGTTTGTCCATCTCTGTTCTACAATGTTGCTGATATGCCATACTGTTTTCTTGTTAATGTATTTAACAGTGTTATTAATTCTAACTACTTTATTTTAGGTAAAATTCACTCTTGGCTTCTATCATGCTGAAATGAAAATGATTTATAACAACAACAAAAACATTTTTGAAATGGAGTTTAATTTACCAGACAGAAAGAAGATTGTAAAGCTCGTCACTGAAAGTGCAAAGGAATAAGGAATCATTGTGCTGAATGAGATAATAGAAAATCATCTAAACAGCTCATCTATTTCTTGCTAGAATTATGTCATCTTTAAAAGACATAAAGTGGTCTAATCTTTTCTGAGAAAAGACTAAAATCTCACAGAACCTTAGAATTTTAAAAGTAAACAAGTAAGCATTTGGAACTGGACAGGCCAGGGTCTACATGCCTATTTTACTTTTCTTAACCCCTCGGCAAAGAGGTATTTAACCTCTCTTAACTTGACTTTCTTCATCTGTAAAATGACAGGCAAAAAAAAATTCTAGTTCACAATGGTTGTCAAGAGAATTAAGTGATATAGGTAAATTATCTAAAATAATGCCTGGTTCATGGAAATTTTTTAAATTGCTTTTTAATGTATCCCCTCACAATTAATGCAATCTCTTTTGCTCCATAGAACAGAGAAAATCTACTTTTAGGCTTTCCTTGGATAATCAAAATGATATAATCCCTTTAGGAATAAAAATCTTAATGTTTAGGTCCTAAAGGAAGTGACTTAAAATGAAGAGAAACAGTTTAATTTTTAAAAAGATTACAAATGTGTTATTTTGCTAAATTCTTGGTAACGTGGTAAAGGCGCGGGTGATGCGTTGATGCCTCTCAGTATCCGTCAGGATGTCTACCAAAGTGGCCCCTGGGAGGCTCTCAACAGATTGTTTCTGTCGAGTTCAAAACATGTGTTGTTGGGGTCCAAGCCCCAGCGGGTCCAGGGATCCCCAAAGGTGTGGACGGAGTCGGCGAAGAATGAATGACACGGTGAAGATGATTTAATTCTCTGGAATCTGGCCAGAAGAGTTAAAAAAAAAAAAAAAGCAAAGACACCCATCTTATTGGTTAGGAACTGATGAGGATCTGATGTTTATCTGATGATTATTGTCTTGTTCTCTGGCTAGGTTCTGGTTAGGATCTGATGAGGTTCTGATGAGGACCTGATCAGGTTGTGTTGAGGATCTGATGAGGATGTGATGAGGTTGTGTTGTTTATTGTCTTGTTACATCCGTATTTATACCAGCCGATTTTAATCCTGTCAATTTCTATTACAAAGGTTAGGGCGTTTCTTATCCCCATTCCAGGGAGTAAAGATTATGTAGCTTAACTACCCACCTGGCACTTAATTAAGGGGTTGTATCCCATCCCTAACCTCAGGGAAAGATCCCCACCTGGGGAAACAACCTTTCTTGGAGAGGTGACCTTGGTCAAAACACATGGCACTAAGGAGAGCAAACATTAAGAACAGTATGCCATATACGTCAGGTACTTCGAAACATATGCTGCCCCTGGGAGGCTCTCAACAGATTGTTTCTGTCGGCTCCCGGCAATGTGTATGTATGTGTGACAGAGAGCAAGAGAGAATGGACAGCACCCAGACTGGATATAGAATTAGCATGCAGCTTTCTGGGATGAAGATGATTTAATTCTCTGGAATCTGGCCAGAAGAGTTAAAAAAAAAAAAAAAGCAAAGACACCCATCTTATTGTAATTGCTTTGTTCTTTCCACCCAGGAACACTCTGAAGTGTGGAATGATCTGCTTCTCACCATAACTGGGAAGTTTCCCAACTCAGACCAAACCTGGCAGACAGTGCAAGTCATTGAACAACAACATGATGACAATCTTCATCAAACAAGAAGTCAGACATGCCCCAGAGTGTAACTGATTTACAAAATCTCTGCTGCAGATTGTCATGAGGAATGGTAATCCTTATTACACCATCTCCAGGCATCTCCAACCAGTCACTGAGACTGACTAGAGTGCAATAGAATGGAAAGCACCACCTGCCAACCATGTGCCCTCAAGATCATCAGATGAACAAGGAGAATCTACATGATCATGTGATGAAATATTATTTTTCTTGACCTTGATCAGGGCCTCAATTTCTTCTTGTTTTCTTTTCTCTGTATGTATTAATCATACACTTAGAAAACCAAGTAAAAAAATACTCTCCAGATGAAGTGGCAATCACTAGCACTGAGGGAAAAGAGGAAAGATGTCTGAGAGTTTTAAGCAGTGACAGGTGTTTCATGTATATCCCCAGGGGCAGGGGCAAGGACAGAAGTGAATGGTACTATGAGGAGGGCACCTACCCCAGCAGCCATTCACCCACAGATCAGAAGTATTTCAATATTTTTTGCAACTGAATATCAGTACCAGGGGGTTCCAGGCTGCCCATCAGGCCTGAGGGCAAGTATTTTCTATACGGTTCTGAAATGGATCTATTCACCAATGATGCAAGTACATATGGTAAGCTTGCTCCTAGAGAATTTCTCCTAAAACTACATATTTTTATATTTAAACTATTACTGATACTATCTTTATATGTAAGAGTGTCCTTTTAAAAATCAACCTTACTACGTATGTTAAGAGGTTCATTCCAAAGTGAAATTTTTTTAAAAAAATGCATTAAACACCCTCAATAAGCTAATCCTTTCCCATCTGGCTGAGATTCCAGCATGTTTGGCTTCAGCTTGCTCAGGGAAACAGAACAGGTTCCCAGAACAATATGTTGCTAGGAGACTGTCCAAGCTTATTTATCTTGTGCTGTGGGGTGATATTGAGCATCCACCTGTGATTGGCACGAAGTGAAAGCGGTGAAAGGGCAGAGGAGGAAGAGACACAAGAGCTGATAGGAAACTCCTGTTATTTATGACACAGAGAAAATGGACAGTTACAGTTTCTAAAACTATATTCCAGGATAAAATTAATTTTATTTTAGTGACTGTCATACTGAGTTTGAAAATTTTCTCATCAGAGAAAGGAATTTTTAAAATGCCTTTAGTATGTAGTCTTAATTAAAGGAACACAAAGTCATCAAGAATTATTACAATTATCCCAAGAGCAGTGTAGGTATCTCTCTCCTTAATTTAAATAAATTTAATGCAAGTGTGCACTTGAGGAGTATATTGAATAAGAAACACCAGTTTTTTTAGATGTCTACCTAATCAGGGTCCTGTTCCACTAACCATCCATGCTCTGCCTGTCCAATACCTCCAATTTGGCTAAATTCAGAAAATGTCCTTAAAGAATCCACAATTGTTTGTAAGTGCAACTGATAATGAGAACTTACAACTTCAAAATGGTTATATGTAGGGCTTGGAGGTTAAACAGGCTTGCACTGGAAACCCTGCTCTGTCAAATACTAGCTATGTAATTTTATAAGCAAATCATTTAAACCTCCTACTGGAAACTTCAATTCCTTTTTTAAAAATGGAGGTAACACAAATGACACCTACAATGACCATCTCCTTTTAGTGAGCACATAATGCACGCCACAGCACTGAAATAAGCACTTAATCCACTTTATGTTGCCTTAGCCCAGGGGTGGGCAAACTTTTTGACTCGAGGGCCACAATGGGTTCTTAAACTGGACCGGAGGGCCGGAACAAAAGCATGGATGGAGTGTTTGTGTGAACTAATATAAATTCAAAGTAAACATCATTACATAAAAGGGTACGGTCTTTTTTTTTTAGTTTTATTCATTTCAAACGGGCCGGATCCGGCCCGCGGGCCGTAGTTTGCCCACGGCTGCCTTAGCCTCACAAAGTTGAGCTTGGTTTACCAAACCCATTCCATAACATGAGCACTTTGAGAAAGGCCAAGTAACATGCACAGGGACCACAGTAATGACTAGCTCATCAGGCCTTTCTTAACTGCAATGCTCCCTGCCTGTCACCCAGCCAGCACACAGATTCAACCCCAGGCCCTTGCTAAGCCTCATCAGTAACTGGCTACAACCAAAGAACTAATCAACAGCAAGATGATGGAGATGTTATTTTAACACCTGACTGGGAGATAATGCACGTAAGATAAGTCATATTACCCAGCATAAAGTAGGAGTTCAGAAAAATATAACACCCTCCCCCTGAACTTTCTGGGCAAGCTAGAAAAAGGAGAAGGTCACACAGACCGTGGGGTGGCTGCACCAGGAATTTAACTCTGGGAGAAGCCTGCTTAAAATTCCATACAGTATTAAGAAGGGGCAGATTGAAATGATATATTTTCCTCCTCTTCCAGCCTTGTGAAAACAAGTATTGAGGCCTAAAGCACCCAGGAGATTTACAGCTTAAAGCAAATCACCTTATATTATGGACTCAGTCCTGCTCAGATGGAACTGTTTTTGAGGCCAATGACTTCACTGAGAATGCCCTTTCTTCTCTATTGTTTCCTATGCTTCTTTAGGATTTCTCTCTGTCCTCACTGCTTCATGTTCTGTGTGTACAGATAATCTGGGTTCTCTCTTCCCCCACATGCAACAGTTGTGGCTGGAACACAAGCATTCCTCCTATTGGTTTTCAAATCTGTTTTTCTCAGATTCTTTGCACAAGACAGAGAAAGACATTTTGTCTCTTCTTCTTATAAGCAAGAAAAATTCTTCTCATTGGTTATCTTCAGTTTTAGGTAGACTTACGGAAATTTTTTCCCTTTGG